AAAAAAAAAACACTCTTACCCATGCTTGCATATGCACATGCATACCTACATTTACATACATGCATGCATGCATAGATACATACACACAACCATATGCATGTGGTATGTAGGTACGTAGGTGTGCATGTATGTGCATGCAACCGTTGCACCAGGCATCAACCTGACTCGTGGGCGGGTTTGATACGAACACATGCAGCTGCACACCGCCTCCTCACCAGAAACTTTGGTTCTTTAGTCCTGCTATGGGTCTAACTGCTGGCCAAATGCCTTTCTGGTGACGTGAGCTTCTAGCGATTTGACCGCGGTGTCCAAAGTCTCGTCTACAATGGTGAGCAAGGCTTGACTGCCGTCTTTTTGCCTGAGGACCATTCCTGGACTCCAGATCGCAGGGGTCAGCGGGAGGGCCTTGGAATGCCGCAAAGCGAAAAACGACCTATTCCGAAGCACCTCGGCGGCGTAGGCCCTCAGATGCTTCCGGAGTTTCAAGAGGTTCTCCCTGGCCAGCTTTCTCCGGGAGCGGACGACTCCACCAGCTTCCACGAGACTCCACAGCATCTCGACTTGTCGCTCACATCGTCACCGCTCTCCGAGCACCCACACGCCCATTCTTCAACAGCCGGACACTTCCCCTTCGAGCACGACCAACAAGGGCACCGGGCAGCGACATCGGAAGACCCACTGTCACGAAGTCCTCACGCCAGAGCCTGGAACATGTCATTCCCGGCCGAAGACCCAGCTTGTGACTTGAAGCTCACAGCTTCGTCGTTGACCTCTTTTCATGCCAAGGCCAGGGATGCCTCGTTCCCCTACCAGCGCGGCGAGCGGGACCCACGAGACACCCCCTGGCCAAGTTATCCTGGAAGGCCTCGGAAGGCTCAAAAAGTACGGCATGCCTCTTCCATCGCTCCTTGCAGGTCTGGACCTGGAGATCCACCGGCTATGGGCGGACACAGCGTAGATCCAGCACCTGGTGCTTCCCGGCGCATGAATGACTCATCGTGCGGTCTCGGAGTGTGCTTTTCTTAATTCGGCGGATGGGGGGAATATGTCCTTGATGTCTGTCAGCCACGTTGTTTTGTTTTCATGGAGCCAAGGTTCAGCACAGTGCAGCTGAAAGAAGCTTCCAGTATTACGGACCAGCTGACCAGTATCCACCAGATGTCGTCCCACACGTCGGCACAAGTCGTCATGATTTGTTAAGCTTGCCCGGACAAGAGTTCGGCGGCGGCCACCTGGACCATTACCCGGCAACAAGACCGGTCCGGCAACTACAGCAGCAGCGACAGGGACAACAGCTACAGCTACAGCTACAGCAACAGCAACATCAACAACAGCAACAACAGCAGCAACAACAATATCACCAGCAATATCAACAACAATATCAACAACCACCGCAACCACATCAACAATCACCACCACAACCACATCGACAACAACCGATTCGACCACATAATCAGCCACAGCCACAGCTGCAATCGCAACCGCAAATACAAACATCACCACCAGAACCCCCGCCGCAGATGAATGTGCCTCGGCACATCTCTTCCGCGAGTCGACTGCAGCAGCAAATGCTTCTACTTCAGCAAGAGCAAGAGATGTTGCTCTCGCGTTCCACATCCAGGCGCGTCACGTGACACGCCTGAAAGAAGAAGTGCCCGCAGTATGTATAAGGGCCTGTGTGTTGTTTCTGGTTCTGTTGTGGTCGAGTTGCTGTTGGACCACTGTTGGATTCGTCGAAGCATTCACGATCACACCGAGGCCTTCACAAGCTCCGCAGATATCTTCAGAAGCTCAGAGTGAGGCTCGGTTGCGCTTCAGTCTGCCATTTTAGGTGGAGAGAGTTCCGCATGTTGCTGTGACTGTGCGCTTCTTTTCCGCCAGGACCTCTCCCGGGTCGAGTCTCAGGCCTCGGCCAGGACTAGGCTTTTGCAAGCGAGGCCCACCCGAGCAGAGCAAGAAAAGCAAGTGCCTTCAGCGACATCATACCCGCTCGCGGAGCAGTTCCTTCAGCAGGGAGTGCATGGCCAGCAGGGCCCCTTCGCGAAACAGCAAGTCCAACCGGCGGCCCCGAGACCGCAGAATGCAAGGCAGCTGTCCCCGAAGCACTCAGCGCCGGTTCAACATCCGCACGACGAGCTTTGCAGTGCCTCGGCTCCGCAACGCTCCGCCAGCCCTCGCTCCTTGTCCACCGCGGCTCCTGCATATCCGCGAGCAAGAGAGCTCGAACAGCAGCGCAGACTGATAAAAGAGAGACAGGAGTTGCAAGCAGCCAGGGGAGGCAGAACTCCACCTCCTATCTCTCTCGGCCTTGCAGCTGGGGCGCGAGCTCAGCACCGCAAAGGTGAGAGTCCTGTTCGGGACGTGGTGAGAAACGCTTCGAGATCAGATTCACCCAAGCAGATCTCTCCTTCCGCGAAGCAACACAGGGCCGAGATCCCAAGCTCAAAGCGTGATGGAGTGGCCCAGTCGTCGCACCGTCCAGTCAGCGCCGGACTTTCCAGGGGCGCTGGAAGCGCCAGTGGACAGCGAATCGCGAGCAGAAGCCCACCAGAAATGCCTGTGTTTGTAGAGCCCATCGCACGGCTTGCGGTGCAGACATCCAGGAGCCAGACGCTTCACTTCAGCAACTCCAGCAACAGCAAGTTTGGGCCCAAAGAGGCCCGCAGAGGCGGCGAGCGATCGGCCAGCCCCTTTGGTGTGCAGCGCCCGCGTAGCCCGCGTAGCCCCAAGCCTTCCCCACGATCGGAGAAATCTGCACCTGGGCCGAGACAGACTGGTGCGAAGCCGGTCACGTCGAGAGGTTCCAGCCCAAGGAACCCCGCAAGCAGACAGGTCAATGGACAGGTCCAGCCAAAGGCAAAGACGGACGAGAGTCGGTGTAAAGTTGAGAGCAGGTTTCAGAGCCCGTCTGTCCAGCCGAGAGATCCGTCCCCAGCCTTCGAACGCCTACCAAGAAAGCCTGCAGTGCCTGTGGCACCACGGTCGCAGACACCCCCGAAGAAGGGCCTTGCCTCCTACTTGCCAGGCGCGCAGCCGGCAAAGAACACAAGCTCATCCACACCTGCAGGTCAGGCAGGCTTCGCAGACAAAGTGGCTGCGCTCCCACAGCCGACCGACCAGCAAGCCTGCAGCCAAAGGGGCATGTCCAAGACTGCAGAGGAGAAGGAAGGGCGTGTCTATGTGGGATTCCGTGACGGGCAAGGACAGAAAAGCGGCTATGGAGTGATGCAGATGGATGGAACAACCTACACAGGCCAATGGTGTGGGAGCAAAAGAGAAGGTTACGGAACCTTGTTCTTCAATGGCGGCGTCTTTGAAGGGCAGTGGCTGCAAGGCAGTGCGCATGGCAAAGGGGCCATTCATTTTCAAAACGGGGACACCTTTGAGGGAATGTATGCCAACAATAAGAAATGTGGGCATGGCGTCTACACCCGGGCAGATGGTACCAAAGAGTCCGGAGAGTATGCTGGTGGTCAAAAGGACGGCCTCCATCTATGGTGCTCAGGAAAGGAGTCCTGGGAGGTGGTCTACGACATGGGAACAGTGGTAGCCACGAGAAGATTGGACGCCAGCAAAGTGGAAAGCCAGGGGATGAAGCAAGACGAAGCTACCGACGCAACAGAAAGCACTCCAGCAGCAGCAGCAGCAGCAGCAGCAGCAGCAGCAGAAGCCGAAGCCAGCGCGGCGCAAGGCCAGACGCAGATGCCGAGGGTCTTGGACAAGGCCGGAACTTGTCGAAAACTCCAAAGTTGAGCTTCCTTGATACTTCTGTCGAGGCACGGCCGGCACCGAGGCCAACTCCACCCCCAAGTCCGCCTGCGAAGGCGAGGACATCTAGAGTCGTAATCTTGAAGAATCTCGCAGAATCCATCTTGTTTTATATTTTCAATTAGCAACATTATCATTAATATTTTGACATTTTGATACAGATCTGGAGGCTCTGCTTCCAAGCAATCGCTGCCGTTCTGACAGCGCCTTCCGAGCTCAAGGCTTCACCGACGAAGAGATCGCGGGGAGCCCAGGTGTCCCAGGCCTCTGCCTTTTTGGTGCCACAATGTAATTAATAATTAGAATAGGGTTTTGGGGTTTCCTTATTATAACTGTAGTGTAATAATTAGAATAGGGTTTTTTGGGGGTTCCTTATTATAACTGTAGTATAATATACCCCAAACCCTATTGTAATGATTGGGCTGAGGCCCTGATTGAACGTCGGAGACGTGGCCTCAGTGCAGAAAGTGAGAGCCGTTACAGGAAGATAATGACCATAGTGACTCCCGCTGCTGCAGAGAGCCGTCCAGAGGCCCTCCAAGCTCACCAGTTGCCCCCGCGCCCGACAGAGCCGCGCAGCCCGGAGGCTGCAGTGCCCGAGCGCCTGGCTGAGACTCTTTCGAGGTGACTTCTATGTGCTCCGCAACTTGCTTCCGTGAAGCTTCAAGCCGAGGTGTACTTTCCCACCTCCGCTCGGGGCAAATCCCGAGATCAAAGCCGAGGCAGATGGCGGCAGGGCTTGGTTTCTCAACGAGGTTCAGTCGTGTCTGGCGAGGCGCCTTGCCCGGTTCGTCAGCTCCCGAAGCCGCCGCTGACCCAGAAGTCGATCGACCACGAAGCACGTCAACGTCGATGTCAACATGGTGGCATCAGGCTACTGCTGCGGATGCCGCGGCCGGGGCAGCTGCACCTGCGCAGCCGCAGGCCGGGGATGGAAAGTCTGAAAGTCTGGAAACGCCGGGGTTTCTGGTGACCAAGGCAGCAGCTGCTCTGTCTGAGGACACCAGACATAGCAGCAAAGTGGGGAGCAGGGGGGGCCTTTGGGGTCCTCATGTCAGGACTCTGCAGCGCAGCAGATGCAGGAGATTGAAAATGGTCCAGACGAGTGGGAGACTCAGCTCGGACAGTGACCGGTGATCTGCATAGCTGTGCCTTTCAGACCGTGTTTCAGACTGCAGCCGCTTGAAAAAGCATAGCCTGCCTTGTTGCTGTCCCGAATTTGCATTCCGTTCGTTTTGGAACGTGCCGTGCGGAAAAGCGGTGAAGATGACAAGTTTCTCATAGTCTCTCCCGGATTCGAACGCTGTTTGTCGCTCTGAGTACTTTACACACAGACAGACAAAGGGCAGTAGCACTGCGTCTAGGCATCGAGGCTTTGATCTCGCTCTTGAGTCCTCTCCTGGTTGTTCGTCTTTGGCCCCTTGCTCAGGACACCGGAGAGTCGCACTTCGCACCTCAGAGAACCGACGCCTGAAGGCCCGGAAAACGATTCAGCTCGCTGAGCCAATTCCGAAACTCTTGAGAATGATGTTTGCAACTCGTTTCAGAAAACACTGAAAAGGCAAGTTCTGTTATCATTGTTCGTTTGTCGCAGTTTGTGGAAGTGGCTCATGCGTTTCACCTTGCCCCAGGGTCGCAACCTTTTTCAGAAAAGGGGTGGGTGATGCGACCACATGCGACAGATAGCCAGGTGCGTATTAAAGATCCAGATTATCTGGCGCATGTCTGACCGGGTGCAACGCTAGCGCACCGTTCCTGAGAAGCCGCAATGATTTTCCTCTGCTCCTGAATTGGGAGCGTTGCCAACTCTGTAACTGGCAGCTTGTTGGCCAGAGCTGTACAAACATGTGGCTTGTAGGAACTTGTAAGTGAGACACAAGACCAGGCAAAGCTGGAGGCGTCGTGCAATCCAGCTTCCACCCACGGAATCCGTCAAGAGGCAGACTCCGTCAAAAGGCAGACTCCCGAGTGCAGAAACCAGAAGCAATCCAAATTCCACGGGTGGGCGGCCTGTCGAGAGAATGCTCTGCAGCGAGCACTCAGAGGTTCCGTCCGGAAACAGGCCCACCATGGCTCTGGTGCGTGTGCTGAGACTTCTCGTATGTGTGGTCGACGAATTACGGGAGTGCTTGAAGTTTCAGATCGATTTAGAGTCTGTGAAACAACGAAACAACCGTACCGACCCAGGAGCATTGCTGCACAAGAATTGAAGCAAGTGCGCAGCGGTGGTGATGACGATGAATGAGCAAGCACACGGGAAGCCAAGTCGTCTGAATGAGCAAGCACAACTTACCGTTTGACACCGGGCTAGTCCGACTAGTCCCGTACATCGCAAGCACTGAAGTAACAGCATGACCATGTGCTTGCATTGCCTAGCCGTCTAGACGCCAATGCCGCCATGGCATCTCGCCATGTGTCGCACGAAAATGCGTCCACTTTTATGAAGCGCTGCTTTGCTAATCCTTCTCGCATGCGGCTGCTTTGCAGCAAGAAGGCCGCTCGAGAAGGGGGCGAATGTCTCGCGGTCTCGGTGGAGATCGCGCCTGCGGGTCCCGTCGTCGAGGTACAGGAGACAAGCATGGCAGAAGGCTGGGAGATGCCGAAACAGACAAGACATACGTAGACATAAACTTTGAGTGAGATGCCCATGAGTCTTGCGGATCGTGTTGATTTTTGGCACGAAGCCCCTTGACAAGTCCTCAGGATCACTGAAAGAGCCGGCATCAAGGAAATGATGGGACGCTACGTTGTTCATGAGTGTTCATGAACACATGAATATCGACAGTAGGAACAGGCCACCACAAGCAGCTGCGAGGTTCGGAATTCCAGGAAGGGCCACCCTAACAAGATCCTCTACTAGGGCCCTTCACGAAGTCTCCCCAGCACAGTCTCTGAACTCCCAGACGGCCAGAGCATCGAAACTATAAAAAGCCATCAATTCTGGACTCTGGACAAGCAGCCGCGTGGCTTTCGTTACCAACGGTGCAGTCTCTGATTGACCGTTTCCAGATGTTCACGGTGTCCTGATCTGACTGGCTGAAGGATGGACAGGTTGCCGCTTCTCACCTTCTGCCCTATGGTTGGCGCTCAAAGTGGCCGAGCCGCGCAGCCTCGCCGAGTGCTCGTCTGCACGGGCGGGGTCCCCGAAGGCTATCGAGTTCGGATGTGGTGTTGGCCTCTCAGGGCTGGCAGCACACGCCCTTGGATATGACACAACACTCACCGATTGTCTACCGGGTCATCTCAAGAACTTGGCAGCACACGCCGCTAAGTTGAGGACAAAGTTCCCGAAGAGTGCACCTCTTCGGGTCCGCTTTCTTGATTGGATCTCCGACGTTGGCGCCGACCTCTCTTGTTCAGTTGACCTGGGCTCACCGGAAAATGTGGCATCTTCAGCCAGCTCTGACTGGGAGTGCTTGGAGAAGGAGCAGTTGAACAGCTTCGACCTGGCGCTGGCTAGCGATGTGACTTCGTTGCAGGGCACAGGCACGCAGTGCGGAATCGGAGGATCGGGGCTGAAGCTGGTAAGGTCGTGTATGAAGAGCACCACGCAGTACTCCTGCCAAAAGTTATACAGCGTTGGTTGAAGCCAGGACGTTGCTCCGCATGACATTCCGCATCCTGCCATCAATCAAAGTCGTGGCTGCTGCCCGATTTGGAGTTCTGACTTGCTTCTGCGACTGGTGCGAGGAGGTTGCTGGGCCGTCTCCCTTGCCATTCGAGATGCAGATATGAGCCGTACACTCAGTCGTTTTGTGAATCCCATGAAGCACCGGTGCCTGTGACGAAGGCTGTAGGTTTCTGGAGCAGCTGCACGCTCACGGACTAGTCCCCAGTACTGCCGAGCAACTCGGCTTCAGCGCCGCATGAGCTTGACAGTAGTTCCATGCAGTTACAAGGAGTGCCCGCTCTTCCCTTTTTTCCTGCTTGCCCGAGGCACATGATCATAGAAACCGCGTGCCGATCAGATCGATACTGGGTCGATTTCAATCGGAAAGCTGCCGCGAAACCCGAGAATTTTCTTATGTAAGGATGCTCCTACTGCTCCTTGCGGGAAGCTTGGCCGGTAGATACACCACCGCTCGACCGGACACTCAAGCTGCACTGGGACCATTGGGGCGGTTGCATGATGTTCTGTGAACATGCACAGGCTGAGCTGGAAGCTGTGCTCAGGCTTCGCAGCATCGTCAGAGGTCACGAAGGAGGTGCAATTCTTGTGATGAGCCAGCGCCCAACATAATCCAGAGGCCCCTCTGCTTTCAAACTTTCGCACTGGGACATGGCGCAGAGATGCACTTCGCGAAAATATGGTCGGCCGGATGAACCTCGTCGGCCTCTGAAGTCACTGGGCGACTGGGCTTCACCATGGGCGGATCATGGCGGATCGGCCGATCTGGGGCTTGCCGCGACAACTGACAACAGGGTCATCTCACAGATGGAGAATCCTGGAGAAGTAGCCTGATTTGCCTCAAGATCGCATCTCTTCGAGGAGGCTGAAGGTGCCAAAGCCAGCCTCAGGCTCGCCGAGTGCTTTTAATATAGGATCTCCTCAATACGCCTTTACTTTGCTTCTGATCCGACTGTGAGCAAAGATTCTCGCGCAATCTCTTCTATGCCTGTGGATCCGCATTTCCTCATTCAGGTATGTCACGTTGCATGGTCATGGCGCCTGCGAGCGCAGACTTGCGAGCCACTTTGAAGGAGAGCTCTTGTCGTTCGGTCTGCCGAGCTTCCTGCCTGTCGCAGCCATTGCTTGCTAACATGGTCATGTCTGTTGTTTGTCAGCACATGTTTGCAAATAATTGTCAGTTTTTTGCTTGACTGTTTCCTGTGCGAAACATGATTCCAACAGAAACTGATGCGGTACTTAGCACCGAAGACCCCTCAACGGTTCGCAGGGGCTAAGTTTGGAGGAGGATAATACGAATAAGAATAGCAACATAAGAATAAGGATTGCAGGTTGCGACCTGGGCATGCTGTGACCTTGCCTGGGGGGCTCGACCCCATGACATCATGGGAAATGGCGTTCTCAGGTCCGGAACGTAGCATGATCACCTTAGATGCTGATGGACGCTGTATGCATTTCCGGTGAGTGAGTTGTGAGGCGCTATCGCACACGACCAGAGGTGCCAGCTTCTTAGATCATGGTGGGGCATGGTTGTGGCTGGTGGGCTTGCGAAAGGCTGACAATAACGACTCCTGGCGCAAGCCCAAGCAGAAGGGAGGCACAGCCAAGGAGAAGGCACGGAACTGGAAGTGTGCACGCAAGTCCTGAAAGTTTTCGCTGGTCCAATCACTCTCACGAACATGCTCCAACATGCATGCAGCCCAATTCGAGAGACAAACAGAAGACACGCTCACACTCGCTCCCGGACACACACATACACACACACACAGCACAGGGACGAGAAAACAGAGCTCAGCTGTAGACGCAAGTACGAGCACATCTTGTGATAGCAGAAAAGTCACGCAACCTAACTCTAGCCTTGTGAGAGCTGGCATGCACCACGTCGCCAGCTGCGTGCTGCCCTTCCCGGCAGAATGGAGGCCTTTCTGTAGTTCAAAAGCGATATCCAATTGGCGCAGGATTGTTTTAGCTGCAGCGCTAGTACGGCTCAGCCCCCGAGTTTCATTCTCTTATCCTGTTTCCAGTTCCATAAGCCGGCAGAGGGTGCACGATCCTTTGCTTTGCTCTCGAACGGTTGCAGGGCTTTCGTTGTATAGATCTCACTCATGCTAGCAGCCTGTGTCCAAATCATTTCAGAGCATGTCAGAACCAACGTCCACTTGTGCCGCGAACTGTATCAGCCATGTCAGGCTTGGGAGAGTACTGTCGCAATAGTCCTTGCAGTGGCCATCATCGCCGTGATGGAGTGTTGTTGGGAACTCAGACGCCGAAGCTCCTTGCGATGACCGTTGCAGCTAATGCAGCTAGTACGCCTCCTTCTGCTGCTGCTCTACTGTGCTACTCCGACCACTCCTGTTGCTGTTATGGCTGCGCCAGCGCGACCACTCCCATCGCCACCACTAGCTGCAACCGCCACCGCCGCCGCCACCTCCGCTGCCGCGACCGTCACCACCTCGACTTTCAGATTGCACGGGTGCAGGCCGTCGCCGTCACCGTCCGGCCAGGTCCAGCGATGTCGTTGACTCCACGATGGTTGGATACTGTTGATCTCAGAGTAGTGCAGGCCGCAGTGTTTGGACTTGGTGCAAGACGAGGTGCCGCTCGGCATTTGAGGTCATTTCTCCAAACAGACGCTCGTCATCCGAAGATAATGGTGAGTTGTGGTAACGAGGCGCTGGGATGCCAGCGTGTTGAACAGACAGCTGTCCAGAAGAGGACAGGCATACGCTAGTTTCTGAAGCTGAATGGATGTCATTTGCGATGCTCAGGGGGCTTCGTCTAGTCTGCATCAGCGACACCCACGGCTCACACCGACAGCTGACGCTGCCAGATGGGGATGCAGCTGTCCCAGTGTCCCAGTCGTGCCCTGCCTGCAGGGCTCTGCCATAGGCAACACTGCAAGGGTTGCCGTCAGGGTCCAAAAAAAGGCTTTCTAAACCTTATAAAAACCCTAAACCCCTAAACCCTAAACCCCAATAAGGGTTCAGGAGGCCCAGTTCACGATGATCGGTTGGCTCAGGTCTTAGTCCACGCCGGCGATTTCACCGCATACGGGCGAGAGGACCAGGCGCACGACTTCAACGAATGTTCAAGACTCGGTTCGGTATCAGGGTCCAGGAGCAGTCGATCGTTTCCAGTTCTTTGAATGCAATTGCTTGCATAGCTATTTTTGACTATGACAGTTTAGGAAAATCACCACAACATAAGCTTCTCCATCCGATGGTCTCAAACGGACACACTGCCAAGGGCTAGCGGATCAGCCGCTGCATTCTCAGCTTGGAAAGGCTGAGGCCGACAGGAGTCGTAGAAGCACTGCTCAGGCACAAAACCAAGCTCGTTATTCTGGGAAACCACGAAGCCAACGCGTCATGGGCTCATACTGTGCAGTTTGCTGAAGCGCCGGCGACTCTTAACGTTTCTGCACATGCCAGGCCTTGGGCCAAACAGGCAGAGGAGGTGTCTGACTCTTGGCACAGTTTGGTGACGGATGCGGCTTGACCGCGGCTCCACTAAGGCTCTCCAATGCCATACTTCTCCGCCAGTCAGCCTACGACCTGGAGGCTGTTGTATCAAGAGACATGAGGGCGAGGGCTGCTTATGGCTCCTGATCTTAGACTACAGTATATACAGTATATGTAGGATATATAAGATATATAGTATATATACTATATATAGTATATATAGGATTCAGTTCGGGCAAGTCATTTTTCTAGCAGGTCCCAGGTTCCGAAGCGCCGCTCCGCTTCTTCGGCACTGACTTCTTCTGGCCTTGTCCGAGACTCCGTTGGGAGGGAAGAGGAGGTGCAGAGTCAACAGTGTTTTGAAGTAGTGTTTTGCTAAGGCCCAGGTGGCAATCCCTACTTCGACGAAATTTCAAAGGGCACCGCCTCCTGCATGCAGGGAGCAACAGCGGACATGGGGATTTGGAACTGGATTGACGGATCTGAACATCCGAGGATGTTCTGCTGGCTCATGGGCCTGCGAAAGGTTGCGCAGACGGAGACAAAGGATGCCCCGCTCTCTTGAAGGAGAGCCGTGAAGCGCTGTTTACCGGTTGAGAGGCTCCGGCTTAGGTGTAACGAATCGCAAAAAAATCCTTGCAGGCCGTGAGCACGATTCAGCCCAAGCTCGTGGTTTCTGGACATATACACTTTGCTCGAGGTTGCCCGGGCTGCCTCTGAGTCATTGCTTCCTTTTTTTTGCTGCCAGCTCGGCAGGGGCGGTGATGCTGAGACATTCTTCCAAGTCAGCACCTCTGCACGGTGCTGGTTCTGGCTGTTTCTGAAGCTGGAGCACCAAGGGCCGCCTCCACAACCTTGATCAATGCTGCAAACTGCGGCAGTCGCGGGACTGAGCTGGACCCACTTAGACCCCGTGCAATCTTGTTTGATGACAGCATTGACAATGATTCGGGTCCGTGCATTGCTGTGCTTTTTTGGAGCGATCTGAGGTGGTCGACAGGAGAGAGCTTGATGCTGAGATCGCCGTCAGATGATGAGTCTTTTTGGATTGAAGTTTCATTTCGAAAGTCGATTTTCACTAGGGTTCTTATCGCGACGAGCGGTAGCATGCAGGAAGCTGCATTTCGGAACAGCACCCGTTGGCATGGGGAGTAAGGTTGCTAGCCTTGTTGCGCTGCATTTACACATGTCTCTGCAGACGCTCGTTCACGGGCCTCTCGTGGTCGATGTTTGCCGAACACCCAGAGCGAACTCCGGTGCCATGTGTATGACGCTCTCATCAGCATGTCTTCAATCTTGCCGAAAGCGCAGCAAGGACCAGCCGTGCACTTGGGCATCCAGATCTTCTGATCGCAGACGATCGAGTTGCCAGCCATGAAAAGAAGTGCACCTACCCATGCCAGCAGCAGGATCGTTTGAGAACGAAGGATTACGGACGGACATGATCGGGCCAGGCCGCTCCGCAACCCAAAGATGCTGCCAAAGCTGCAGAGACTTGGCTGGCGGCCAGCGGCCCAGATGGCCTGGAGCATCATGCGGGCAGATCTCAGTGCAGTTGGCTTAGGGTGGGCCCAAGGGCTTGGGTGGCTTGAACGGTGCCGCGGCTAGCTCGCCCGCCGCTGCCCGAAGACTCTCAATTTCACAGGGCTACTGCTCATCGCCGAGTCAGCCAAGGGCATTGCTCTGGCTAGCAGCAAAGGAGGCCCCGGCACCAACGTCGAGTCCTCAGAGTGCGTGATGCTGGGTGGCTGACGGAGTCCGTTTGACCTCGTGAAGCATCTGAATCATCAGTCATTATTGAATCATCTTGTTAATCAGAGGCGGAACCACCCGTTTGCAGGTAAAAGTTTCCAATCTGTCGCACGTTCGCTGGCATCTGGAAATCTCGTTCTCAGGGTGTTGGAGTGATTGAACCGTGCAGACGTGGATTTGTGACCATACAATTGGACAGGAGTGTTGCGATGTACCCCGGCTCTGGAACCAAATCCGAAGAAGGCTTATACTAGGTTCCCCAGTAGTACCCTTTTGCCCTTTTTCTTTTTGGGTTCCCTAATTAAAACCAAATAGTAGGAAAAAGGGTACCCTTATTATTAAGGGGCTACTGGGGAACCTAGGATAAGATCTTCAACTTTGACCTCCTCGTATGTGGCAGGGTTCCACCGCAAATTCCCCCTAAGTCAAAGGGGGGCTCTCCAGGGCTCTCCCCTTAGCTCTAAAACATCCTAAGCCCAAAGCCCTAAGCCCTTATAAACCCTAAACCCCCGAACCCTAGACCCTTAAACCCTAAACCCCTAAACCCTAAACCCCCAAACCCTAAGCCCTAAGCCCTAAACCCCTAAACCCCTGAACTGTAGGTCTGGTTGGTTCAGGTTTCCGAGTTCCTGTGTGCAAGGCTCCTACGTCCCCGTCGAGCACGGCACAGGCAGCTCTAGGGTGCCAGCAGCGGCTGCCAGAAAAACGGGGGGCCACGAGTATCCTACTTCAGTGTCCTTCTCATTTTGGATCCTACTTGTACTTAATCTGGGTCCTTGTTGGATACCATTTTACATTTTTGTTATAATGAAAATTCAATAAGGATTAACAATGTTCATTTTTAATATAGTCCCAACAGGGAATCAGTAATGAGAATTGGGGGTCCGAGTTCGGAGCAGGACGAAGACGAGGACACTGACCTGGCGGGTTTCTCCGGCCTCGCCGATGCGGCAAACAAGGCTTAGGCCCTGGCATCCGCTCCGTTTTTGGAGGAAGCGTGATCCAGGTTCAGGGTTTGGGGTATCAAGAAAAATAAATTGAGGTGTGGGACGACCTCATGGCCCGGAAGGGTGGCATCAAGGTGCTCAGATCTGTTGCATTCAGCCTTTTTGGTAGGCTTGGATGTCTTGTCAGGGAAAGCAAGACATGAACTCTCTCTTCGGCCTTGCAGAGCTCAAGGCCCCCTGTCAGAGATGCGAAAATCTCCGCGACGCGGAGCGTGAAGTCTGCAGGATGCCGTGGAGCGGTCGGTGAAGCGGGTGAACATGCTGCAGCAGCAGGTGCAGAGGGAGCTGCTCGCGCAGATCTTAAGATTGGGGTGCCCCGCCGCCTCAGCCGTCAGGCAGAAAGCGCCTCCTCGACTCTCGAGGAGAAACAGACTGCCTTGGAGGAGCTTCGGCGGAAAATAGAGGCGCATGTAACAAAGCTGTGGCGGCACAAGATCCTTGGGAGCGGCACTCGAATCGAGCAGGCCGGCGCCAGCACTCCGAACGTGCGTTGGAAGCTAGGCGACTATGCATGTTGCACCTTCCGTCTTGCAGTCGTCTGCAGCTTTCGAGTTGTGTAGGTGACATGGCAGTGCGACGGGGCAAAGGCTTCTGTGAACTCAGCATGGTGCCCACGGCGGATTGCTACTTTTCTCAGGCATCACAGGTTTAGATGGTGTGACATGAGCAACAGGTGCAGATGGATGTCCAACCTCCTTGCTTCGAGGCTTTCAAGATAAGGTGCGTTCGGGGCGACTCGGGTCGTGATATTCCGCAGGTCCGGATGTCAACAACCGGCACCATCGTCAGCACGGAGTGACCCGACCTTGATGCTCTGTTTGGGAGGAGGTTTCGTTCTTGCTCTGCCATGAGAAAGGTACGAAAAGCTCGTCCCTCTCACCTCGCAGCAGCAGATGGCAGCGCGGTCAGCTCTCAAAGAGCTCGAGGAGGCCGCGTTGGTGGCATTGCGATGGGCTGGTCTACATCATAGTATCTTGTGGTAGATTGTAACATATTATAGTATACCATAGTTGTTTATAGATCATAGTATCTTGTGGTATATTGTAACATACTATAGTATACCATAGTTGTTTATAGATCATAGTATCTTGTGGTATATTTTCATACTATAGTATACCATAGTTGTTTATAGATTTCCATCGTATTCCCTAAACCCTAAACCCTATATCCTAAACCCTAAACCCTAAACCCTATATCCTAAACCCTAAACCCTATATCCTAAACTCTAAACCCTAAACCCTATATCCTAAACCCTAAACCCTAAACGCCAAGTGAGGCCAAGAAGCGTGTGGCTACGACCGACGAGGGCCTCACACAGGCCCAGGAGGCCGAAAGGGAGAGGAAAGCCTTACACCACCAAGTGGGTCGTTGTCAAAATTATGGTCCCTTTTTGGGTACCCTAAATAATTGGTGCCGTATTACAATAAGGACCCAAAAAGGGACCATGATTTTGACAACACAACCACCCAAGTATCAAGACTATTTTTTGGGGGCTCCTTATTTGGATTTTAGATATTGTAGTATGTTGGGGGCTCCTTATTATAGTTATAGATATTATAGGATAATGGGCTTATTAATCTTATTATACTTAGAGATACTATAGTATAAGGGGCCCCAAAACCCTGTTCTAATAATTAGAGCTCTTGGAGCTCTAAATCCTCAGATCTTCACCTCAATGGAGTGGCTGGCCAGGAGCTTCGGCAGCAGCATCAAAGCCTCACTGAGCAAGTGGAGGTGAAGCTGAAGGCAAGGTGCTCATTAAATGCACACTCCTTTTTTCCTGATGCCATGGCCCCTAAACCCTAAACCCTAAACCCTAAACCCCAAACCCTAAACCCTAAAAAAAAAACCCTAAGTGGCCCTTTTGGAGCAGGAGCCCATGGCACCACCGGGCCTGCCTGCTGCAAGCTTATCTGCCGGTCCTCTGAAGCCTCGGCTTCCCCAGCAATCGCGGCCCGAGGACTTCGGCTACCTCCAGAAATCGAATGCGCAGCCGACGAAGGTGCTGCGTTTGAATGCAGCGCCGGGGTGCAGTGTCGCGAACCGCCCGGCTTCTTGCATGAAGGCGGATGCTGCAGCATATCCTGAGGTGAAGGCCAATGCTGAAAGCCCTTAACTACAGTAGCTCAAGTGGTCCAGAACGTGTCATCCTTTGTGGCAGGGAATGAAAGAAGATCTGCGTAAGCCAGCTGCTGGAGCGGTGGCACGAGAGGTGGAGGATGAGTGGAAGGCCTTTTGTGACGGTGCCTCCGTGCGGATGTGAGGCTTCCAAAGATCAGAGCCGGGCAGAGTCTGGAACAGCGAGCAAGATCCTCAGAGCCCTCCTAAACCCTAAACCCCTATGCCCCTAAACCCCTATACCCCGAAACCCTTACAAACCCTAAACCCTCAAAAGCCCTTAAAAGACCCAGACCCTGAAACACCCTTAGAAACCCTTAAAAACCCTGAAAAACCTTTAAAAACTCTAAACCTTTAAACACCCTGAAAAACCCCTTAAAAACTCTAAAACACCCTTAACAATTCTAAACCCTTAAAAACCCTAAACCCTTATTTAACTGCTGGAGCTGCCGCTCTCCGTTTTGCCTCAGGTGCAGGGAACACATTGCCTCGCCAGGCCGGCTTCTGCTCCCCTTCTACGAAAAGCTATGACGAAGAATTTCACCATACTATCTATACTCTATAACCTATGTTTAATCTCTCTCTCTCTATATATATATATATATACATAAGGTGTAAATACGTGAACATCAGGCACCAAGTGGGCCGGCAGGGTTTCCATCCTTCCAAGACCTCGGGAGGACCTTGCTTTGCCGGAATTGCAAGCTGTTGGACTCATCCCTCTGGCTTCTCGTGTCACAGTCTCGCAGGATGCAGAAGGAGGTGCGCGCCTTTCAACAAAATCGCTTGTCTTGAGGATGATCGCGTAGAGATGCCAAGCATGTTTTTGATGGGAAGATATATGGAAGAATGGCACAGAGTGGCTAACAGTGCAACATTCGTACCATAGGCTGTGATATACTATGCTATACCGCAACATACTATATGACACTGTATCGTAGTGTGCACTCTGAGCACGGCGAGTACCTTCATGGTTGTTTGTGGGACTTACTCCACTCTCTCGGGGACTCTGGTGCGGTACACCCCGACATTCTTACACATGCACATACACTCACACATATAATATGACATAGACACATATACATTCACCTACACATTGACAGAATCTACATATAAGAGCTAGAGTGTAGACAGATAGTCTTACACACCTCCATGCATCCGCGCTGACAGGCAGGCAGGCAGGAACACAAACAGATAGAGAGACAGAGACAGAGACAGAGAGAGAGAGAGAGAAACCCCGAGCAAAGCAAAGAGAGAGAGAGAGACAAAGAGGCAGAGAGACAAAGAGGCAGAGAGACAGAGAGACAGAGAGACAGAGAGACAGAGAGACAGACAGACAGACAGACGGACAGACGGACAGACGGACAGGCGGACAGACGGACAGACCGACGGACGGACAGACGGACGGAC